TTTCAATTATAATATTTATATAAATCAATGCAAATTAAAAAAAGTACCTCTGGTTAGTTATTAGAACCAATCATGCTAAACAACATCACTCGCGTTTTGTCATCTGTCAAAAAAATAAATTGTTTTTCCAAAAAAAAAATCAATTGCATCACGAAAAAAAAAAAAAAAAAAAGGGTTCCATAAATAAATAATTAGACGCGTTTGTGTTGATCAAATTGTTTTTTTTCAAAAATGTCAAAAAAAATTCAAAGAAGAAATCAACGAATAGGAATTGCTAATGAGAATGGGTAAGTGTTGTTTATTGTAAGAATGGTGGTGGCGGTTATCGCCATCACTCGTCACTCTAGTTATTGTTAAAAGAATGGTGTTGTTACTCTAGCTAATATTATTAAAATAAATGCAAACTAATTATTAAATTTTCATTGATTTTGTAATTGTTACAAAAAAGGGGGTTAAACGAACGTATAGAGAATGAGGATAAAGAGAACGATGATATTGACATAAAAGTATAAATTAATATTTACTGTTCAATATTGCAAACATTGTTAAATATAAAAATAAAAAAACTTTTTTTATGCATCACTATTCTCCACAATAACCCTTTTAGAAGCGGAAAATAAAAGAATTGGAAAAAGAAATTTCTGCATTAAAACAACAATTAAAAAATACAGGTAATGAATTAAAATCATATTAATATTAATATAAAAGAATTAGTGGCATTCATGAGATTCATTAAAGGGTTACACATCAAAATCAGATGATCAACACATGATTTTTAACTTTTTTTGATGTAACCCCCTAAATCAGAAAATATATATATATATATATATATTCATTTATTTATTTTAAAGAGCACTTTCTGTTTTTCTTAGAAGAAAGTGATAACAACACATATACTGAAGCTATACAAAAAGCGAAGCGTATTAAACAAGAGATGCCCACACCTTCAAGTTTCTGTAGGGATGGAAAATGGGAAAAGTTTCAAAGTCCATTAATTATGAATCATCGTCCATCTGCAGCAGCAATACCAATTACATTATACCATCCAGCATTCACTCATTTCCAGACAAACTGCTCAAAGATTAATATTGAAGATAAAGATTGCAATCAAGTCCAAGAATTTTTAAACATAATGATAAAATTTTATCCGAAAGAAGCATGCAGACTTGAAAAGTTTCGTGAATGGGCATCAAATTACTTTGGTATGCCAGTAAAAAAATTGCCACTTCCAAGGGATCATTCAGAGGCCGATATAGGTATCACCTTTTCTAAATCGAGTAATCAATTTCTTTTGTTAATTGGAGAAGGGAAAAATGAAATGGGTGATGGAAAAGGCTGTCCTTACATTCAAGCATGTAGCTCTTATGCTGAATATATTGGTGAGAATGAAGATACAAAGATGAAATATGGTCTCAATCCAGTCTTCTTACTATATTTATCTGGACCATATCTTGGAATAGCTGGTGCTGTGTTTGGTAAAGATTTCACAGTAGACCCACTTACTCCTATGGTTCTGCTTTTTTCATTAAATCATGATCCAGAAACAATGATCCACATTGTGCGTATTTTGTGTTCACTGAAGGTAGGTCTGCAGGAACTAGTAGACTACTATCAAGATCTAGAGCTTCCATCAAATTTTGAAGAGAATGGAGGCCTTAGGCCATTCAGCTTTCCTTACTTTAGATCATTCACCTGTAACAACAAAGAAATATCATTTCAATATATTGAACATATAGAAGGTAAAGAGCTTCTTTTCATGATCAAAGAAAATAATGATGGAAGTACTTCATGTGATGGACAAAATCAATGTTTATTGGTTAAATTTACCTGGAGATATGGTGCAGAAGTTCATGAATTTTGTGCAAGTCAAGGAATAGCATCAACCTTAATTGCAGTGAACAATTTGCCTGGTGGTTGGAAAATGGTAATTACGAAGCCTTTGCATAATGAATTTACAACTCTTTCTTATGCTTTGAATCACATTGATGATAGACAACGGATAGAATTATTGGTTAAATTAAAAGAAATAGTTCACATCTTACATTCTGAAGGCTATGTACATGGATACTTATGTACATCAAATGTTATGATCTCCAATACCAGTGATATAAAAATCATCAATTTTGACTGGGCAGGGAGGGAAGGCAACACAAAGTACCCATATTTTCGGAATCCAAAAATTTTATGGCATCCAGGTGTAAAAGGTGGAAAGGATATTTTGAAGGAGCATGATAATTACCTCTTAGAGAAAACTTTTTTTGACTGTGATGTTAATGAGTGAAGGGAAGGGTATTATTGAAAACCATTATTTTGGTTGTTTGTTTTTAATGAAAATCTTGTAGCATGTAAATTTAATAATCAATTTCTTTGATACTATTTACTTTTTATATATATTTGAAAAGCTAGCTAAAGCTTTTTCAAGTTTTAATTTTAGTTTTTAACTTTTTTACGAAGCCAATATATTTTTTTATGGTGGACATTTACTTTCTGTTTACATTATTTACACTAGTTGTTTATGAACAAAGAATTATTTATCATATTATTATTATTAAATTGATTCAATCTTTGTTTGATAACTAATTTATTTCCAGAAAAATACAAGTTCTTTTCTTTAAGTTTAGATCTTACTTCAGGGACTGTTAATGTTTGGATGGATAGGTTAATTTGTGAAGGTATTTTCATTCTCCATTCTGATTGAGCAGTTGTTTGGTCAATGGCTGTTGAATTTGGTTTATTCATATCATTGTTTTTAAGGAGTTTTTTTATATCTGAAACTGAGTATATTGTTGGTTTTTCATAATTAGGTATTTCATAAGCTTCTATAATTCCCTTTTTCTCATCAGTTGGCCACATAAAAGTGAAATAATTAGAAATCCCTGGAATAGTACCAACTGATGTTTTTTACTATGATCTGGAATTAGTTTGGCAAGTGATTAGCATCCAATATGTCTTCTGTGGAAATACTATTACCTAATCTTGTATATCTAACAAAACCATGTGATAGTTGAGCATGATGAGAATCTACAATGATTTTCTGAATTATGGTAATGACCACCATTGTCAGAAAATATCTTTATCCATTCAATGGTTTCACCTATTTGTGGTAGTACAACATCAAATGCAGATGCTGTAAACCAAGCATCTTGTTTACCATCATCAGACCAGTGATCAAATGCTCTTATAATTAATTCATCATTATTATTTGATTTGGTTATCACTAGGATTGTATGAAGTGTCCAATCTTCTTTTCCAAAAAAAACTTGTTTTGTTTCCCAAGAACTTTTAGGATTCACTTTCATTTTATAATCGCAAACTAAAACTGCACCATTATGAGTTAATTCACATAATGCTGCATTAAATTGTGAATTTAAATATTTTTTATGTAGTTGATGTGACAAATAATACAAAATTTTATCCATATATTCTTCATATCGTTCTACATCAATTAGAGCAAATTCTTTAATTTCATTTAAGACCAAAAACAATGATACACAATTGTTACAAAATAAACGATGTTCTTTGCATTCTCCAAAAGCATAAAGAAGACAATGGTTCAAACATGGAGTATGCTCAAGGAACCCATTATTTAAAACTTTTATTTCTTCTTCCAAACCATGCTTTAAATGACATCTAATTATTTCTATTTTAGTAATCAGGTTGTTTTTTTTCTGATTCAAATAGTTGTGAATTTTTGATTGATTGAATCATGAATCAAATACTTGATAACCATAAAAATCACAAGTTATACATAAGCCACTTAGATCTTCTTGATATTTAAATTGGCCATCCATTCTACACATAAAACTTGTTCTTTTTAATCCATTAGGATATTCTTCATGATATTTTCCCCACATTTCTTTTTTTGTTGCCTTTAAATATCAAATTGGGTTTCCTGTTTTTGGATCAGTTTTGTAAGAACTCATATAGTTGGCTTGGTCTAAAGACCTCCTAAATTTTGTGCAAATTTTAAAAGTATAAAATCATTTCCTGTCCTACTTTTTAAAAAATAGCTCTATTAGTTGATAGGTCTTTAGTTTTAATATAATAGAGATTTTCTCAAAAAATTATTTGTTGTAGAATTCTATTCTTTTTTAAAACATGTACAGTGCCGGTCACAAGTACACATCCAATAAAAATAGGCTTTCCTAAAAAGGATATTCTGCAAGATAGAGAAAACTTTTTTGAAAAATCTAATCATCATTTTGTTTATCTTAAGTAAAGCTGTAAAATGGCGATTAGATTTTTTAATTCAGTTGCACAGAACTTGAGATACATCAGTTCAAAGTTCTAGCTAATTTACTATGTTTACTATGTTTGAAGGCCAAATTGAAACATTGGACTGAGCTCGTATATGAATAATTGCCTAATTCAGAAATTTAAAAAAATTGGATATCTTAATTTGGAAATGCTTTTACTAAATTTAGAAAGATAATCAGGTTTTTTAAAAATTGAAACAATTGGATGTGTACTTGTGACCGGCACTATACTATGCTCATGAGGAATTGAGCACTAGGATAATTGCTAAATTTAGACTAATTTTTGACCATCATTAGACCTAATGTAAATTAACTTCATATTAACTATTTTTATTTAGGGATAAAAACAAATATCATACAATTGTGATGTTAAACAAATATTATGATCCCTGAAATCCTTGGTAACACCAATGTTCACTTTGTTTGGTTTTGTTGCAGTATGCCCCATATACTAATACAAACATTCAAATGCGTGATAATAAACAAATAAATTTTTGTCACAAAACTCAGCCAATTCAAAAAATCCTTTAGAAAAAAATTAAAATTTGCTTCTTTTACCAATAATCTTTTTTTTCTTTTCGCATCACTTTCTTGGTACAAGTGGGCCACTGGCTGGTCCTAAAGATCATAGGTACCCGGTCATTCATTTCAATACTTAAATAACCTGCTGCAAAGAGATATATATACTTGTATTTGATATATATTTATAGTTTGAAAAGAACTACAAGAAATTCTTATTGAAACATGGACACCGGTGATGTACAAGTACAACATCAACCGTTCACTCAAGACCCAATAAGACAATCTTGGAGCAATAATAATTCAAATAGTAAACAAGTAAAACAACGTAAAGAAAGTAGTGATAATAGTAATAGCATTGTTAATAGCAATTACAACAATATTAATGGTAATAAAAACAAGAATGGTAAAAATTTAAATTTAATAAATGTTGAGTATTCTCAAAATTCAACAAAGTCTTCTATCACTACTCCAAAAATTTCTCAAAATTTTATTGCTCAGCCAAAATCTGTCGCTTTTATTAATAAAAATAGTTCACAACTAAACTCATCAAAATCTTCTCCATTACCATCATATAATAATAATAATAATTTATCAAAAAGTCCTCCTAAAAGTAACAAAAATATTATTACTACTGTACAACAAAAAACAACAAACTACAATAGATCTATTCCAAAACCACTTAATTTATCAAAAACGACCCAATTTCAAAATTTAGCAAGAGCACCACAGACTGCTACTTTTCCACAAAAAATAAATAGAAGTTATAACCTTCTAAATCCTCCTAAAACTGCCACTTTTCCAAAACATTCTAATGGATTTCCAAAAGATATCAGACAACCCACTTTAAGGCTTCCTACTACTTCTCCCTCAACAACAAATAATTCTCAACATGCTTACACTCTAATGTGTAATGAGCAAAATTTAAATGCTTTGGAGCTAACAAGAAATATAAACTATAATTCTAACTCAATACCTGTTAGATTCACTACAGCTAATTGTCATCAAGTTGAACCAAGTCCTGGTACATCTGTAGTTGTGCTAAATCATCCTGATGATTCAGATTCACAAGGATCATCACCACCAACACCAAGATTTTTATCTTCTGAAAATTCTTCTGATTCAACTGATATTTATGATGTATATAACATGCAATATTATCCTTATGAAGATGAGTTATTATTAGATGATAGTCAGCAGTATTACTATTACTGTCATTATGATCAATCACAAGAATATATTAACCCCTCAACTTCAGCTAGTAATTTACACCAACAACAATGTTCTAATATAGTTCCAGCTACAAAAGATGAAAGACGTAAAAGGTAAATATTCTTTCAAATATTTTTAATAAAATTTAAAATTTATTTAATTTTTATTTAATTTATTTAGTGTGTTTGGCGGACCAATGAAAATCCACCCAGATGCAATTCTTCCTATTCGTCAACCCAAAGGGCCTGAAATGTCAAAAAATTTTGCTACTAGAATTCGTCGTAAAGCTGTTAGCAAGCTTCATGCAGCAGCAGCTAACAGAAGGAGAAAGTCCGCAGCTGATAGGAGAAAATCTGCGATGTTTTAATGGCAATGATAATAATCATAATAATTAAAAAAAAATAAATTTAGAAAATATAATAGGCCGATAAATGAAATAAACAATTTATGAACAGGTAAATTATCTTATTGATGAATTAAAAAATTTATAAGTTTATTTTGGAATCAAAAGAATCACATTCTAAATATTTTCTTCTTTTTTCAATATATTTTTTATTTATTATTCTTCTTTTTTTATGTAATATTATTATATGCATTTTTGAATATTTTAAGAAATGTAATATTTTTTTTTCTATCTTATAATTATTTTTATCTGCTTATTTATTACTTCAAAAAAACTAATAACATTCCCATATAATGAATACTGATTAACTAAATCTGCGCCACACATAATTAATAAATGTGTGAATTTATATAATTTAATTGTTTAATTTTGATAATTTAATTTTTTTCTTTAAATTTTTGATATCAATTCTATTTTTTGGAAAATCGTTAGATAGAAAAAAAGGATCTTGCAACGCCTTAAAAATATAAATTATATATATATATATATATATATATATTACTGTAATAACAAATTAGTAATTAATAATCAAAATTTATCTTACTTTATTTGCAGTCAATCTTTCTTTTTTTGGATATTTTAGATATTTTTTGATGAATTCGATCGTTTCTTTTGAGTTTGCATTTGGTAATTGTTTATTTGTCAATCCTTCAACTGATTGATGAATAAAGTTAACTTTGCCATAATCATGAAAATCTTTCATTTCCTTACAAAATTTTTATTATACTTTTATTATTATTAGTTTTGATTAAATAATTAATAATCTAATAAATCATAATACTCACTGGCCAGTTTTTTAAAGTAGGCACCCCAAATACACGAAATATTTTAATCAATTGCTCTATATCTGATTCTCCATTAAATAATATTGATCCAATAGGTTTAGTAAAAAATTCTGCAATTATACAACCAGTTGACCATAAATCAACCGAATAATCGTAATTATGACATGAAAGCAAAAGCTCTGGTGCACGATAACATCTTTTGTTAAATAATAATATTTAATGATAAATACTGATTTTGGCTTTTTTTTAAAAAATATATATAAATATATATAAAACCTTGTTCCAATATCATGTTTCATTTCTCCAACGACTTCATCATCACAAATTGATTCGACCCATGCATTACCCAGATCAGATATCTTTATTATACCATCTTTTGTAATTAAAACGTTTTTTGATGACAAATCTCTATGGATTATTCCATGTTCATGTATATAAGCGATTCCAGAAAGTATCATCCAAATACAAGATTTTTGTTGCAATGAATTTAATTTGTAATTTTTTAACAAATAACCTAATGTATATGGACAGAATGGAAAAACCAACGAATTAACATTAATTTCAATATTACTAGGTGCATCTAATATTATTATTGGTTCTTTATTCGGAATAACTGAAATAACCTTTATGATAATTATAATTAATAAAATTTAAATAAATATAATATATATTTAAAAAACTCAAATATTTACATTTTCATGCTCTAATATACAAAGAATTTTAAGTTCTCTTTCTACTCTTTCTTTTATAGGTTTTTCACGCTTATTAATCTCTCTACATCTTTTTACTGCAACTAAATTGCCAGCTGGAATTTGTTTTGCTCTGTAAACGATGCTATAAGATCCCTCAGCATATGAATCAATTATTTTAAAAGTTGTAGTTTCCATTTTTTTAACGACTACGGATTAATATTATTGGCTTAAATTAATATTTTAATAACGGGTGTATCTACCATTAATTCCAGGATTTGTTTTTTTTTGAATACTAATCTTAATTTTCAAGAGGAATAAAATTTCATTTACAATTTTTTAATTTTATCCTTCCCAATTCGAATTATTTAGATTCTTTTACTACACTGATTTTATTTCAACAAACTACAAGGCTTTATGTTTCGTCATAACCGATTTAATTGATAGAAAAATAAAACTTTTTTTTAATAGGTTCAATGATTAATAGTATTTTTAATAGTTCAGCTCTACAAAAGAAGTCATTCAAAGTTAAATAAATACGTTCATAACTGACAAATACATCGCCTGAACAAAAGTTTTGCACAAAAATTTACAATAAATAAATTAAGCTTTGGTCAAAAAAAAAATTTATGTTTATTATTATTACACCACCAAAAAAGGACCGAATTGTTCAAAATATACATAACTGAATTTTATAAAGAATCTAAATATTTAGTTGGCTACCCATTATTTTCAATAAAAGCTTCGATTCTTAACAGATTCTTTAAGGCTCCGAAAATAACAAGTCATGGCTGTTGATCAGTATTGGAATTGGAGGACATTCACTGGCTATTATAAGTGTAAAAGAAGGCAATAAAAGATGTACATATCAGGGCTGTCGCGTGACCCTAACCCCATTTTGACGAAAGTCGATTTATTCACTAAAGTTTCGTCAGCTGGCGAAGATGTAAACCCGTTGATCATTCATATATTAATTAATATGTAAAATGGAAATTCTGATCCATGTTCTTTAAAAGTAGTCAACTTTCTATAAGTGCTGAGACTCATTAATAAATGTATGTTTTATTTTCTTGACATTTTTCAAATGTTCATCTCTAAATGTTGTTGACCTTTCTTTGAATAATTATTCCGCTCTTTGGTACTGATGATTGTTTTAAACTAGCTGCATATCATTTGATCCAATTTGCTGCTGTTGTTGGGAACATTCTCAACATCTATACCAAAATTTGAAGTTTACTTACCATTTCCTTTGCTGTCATTCAATCTGATTTATTTACATTACCTGCCAAAAAGTAACCTCAAGGCAAGATTTTATTCTTTTAGTCACCCGTTTTCCTCCTTTTTATATTTTTGGATGCCTTTCAAAGCCCATCCTGTCTTTAGTTCAAATGTTTCTTTATTAGCTATAAGATATACTTTTAAATATCAATGTTGTTTGGTTAATGAGAAGAAATATATATTATTATTAATTAAACACCATTAGATTTGTTGTTAACATTTATTTAATATAAAGATGGGCGTGTCAAAAAAATTCTCTTTTGATTAAAAATGTTTACTTTGAACTTGGAATATTGGGAAAAATTTTATCAACAAAAATGATTTGAGTGTAGATTCACAATTAGTTAGAGGTCTTCATAAAGTAAAAAGAAATATTATGTTATAATGCTAGACAAACTGACATTAATGAGTACATAGATAGAAATTAAAAGCAATAATTGTTTTTTTAAAAATAATAAAAGAAATATTTTATCTCATTATAATGTATTAAATACTATTTAATTATGACCTACACTGTAACCTGAAATTTTTGATATAGTGGATTTCTTGATACAGTGTAGAAAACTTGCTGCACAAATGTCTACATTGTATTGAGTTTCACTGTGTACTATTTTATACTGGACAAATGTTTTTCACAGAAACAGCAATGATCATTATTAAGAACTACAAGATCAAATTCAAAACCTAGTATTAAGGCTCAACCAACTCCTTGATAAAAAGAGCTGAACATATGATTGTTAGTGACAGGAATTACCTGTTAAAAAAAGAAACAATGTTGTTGGTAAAGTTGATAGATATTATGATATTAATGAAGACAAATATGCAAATATGATGATGATGATATACTCCCAGACAAAAGTATTCAGACACCTATTTTTACTAAACATGCAAAAACCCACATAATAACTGTTTATCAAAATGTTTGATGAATATGCATGTAGATTTTGATATTTTTAAAAATTTAAAATGCCCCAAAAATGATGATCTATTGTTTACAAAATCCTATATACATGATAATGAAAATTTAAAATATCAAAACAAGCTACATTTTGATAAAATTTTATGTATAGTTAATATGTGGGTTTTTGCATGATTATTGAAAACAGGTGTCCGAATACTTTTGTCTAGGGAATGCAGCTCTATAAAGTTATTTGGTTTTTCCAGAAACACTGGAAATTCAGGGTGCGGAGGGTGCGGCCGCAGTATATTACACTAAAATGCGGATCATTTTATGTGCAAATTGTAATACATAGTACCAAATGGGGCATACTGCAACAAAACCAGACAAAGTGAACATTGGTGTTACTAAGGATTTCAGGGATCAATACAGTCAGGGATATTTCCATAGATGGAAATACTAAATACCGTAATGATCGATGGTATGAAAAATTCTAGAAGAAATTCTGATTGGCTAAATTCAACCAGGGATAATACCCTGTAATGATCGACGTTATGAAAAGAAATTCTAATTGGCTAAATTCTGTGCAGATCTTTTCGTTGAATAAAAAATAATAATCTTTAAAGGAAAAGAAAAACAAGAAAAACATGGTAGGAGCTTTATTAATTGATCATATAATTTACAAAATTATATAATATGTGCATTTTTAACTTTCTAGAAGTCTACCCAAGATCAAGCAATGTCAAAGATGCTATTTAACTAATATATAGCATATTATTATATTAATAATGATTTTTATTCCATTATTAAATAATTTACTAAGTTGCCATTCATCAGAACAAAATACTTCATTTTAAAATTTAAATAATACCATATAAATTTCCTTGCCAATTCTATTAAATAATAAATAAAGGATACAACAAATTCCATATAGTAAAAATAAATAATGATTAATTATATTGAAATCAATAGCCACCATTGTAAATAATACAAAATAATTTATTTGGAGTTTTATGCTTACATTTCCATACCAAATTACTTTAGTGCTCCATGCTGCAATCCAACAAAGTTGTTGCAAAGGCAGTTACGACTAGGTGTTGCAATCATTTGTATATGATGTAAAGGTGGTTACAACCATCATCAAAGTTGCAGTCGGTATCCTTAAAATAAATAAATAATAAAGCCTAAATAAAAGTATATTATTATTAACAAATTAATTTACATGAATAAATATAGTAATGGTGATTCTGAATATACTTAATAATAAGATTTGCATCAACCTGACGTCAGCTGGCTTTCTGGATATTTGTTTGC